GATTCTAGTTTCCTGCTATTACACACTCTGGAAGGTTGCAGGTAATGGCTCAAGTGGTTGGATCCCTGCCACCCACATGGGAGACTTGCACTGAGTTCCTGGCTCCTGAATTCTGTCTGGTCTGTCTCTAGCCATTGGAGGTCACTGGGAGGCTGAATCAGTAGATGGAAGTATGTTCTCTCTCTCTCTCTCTCTCTCTCTCTCTGCTTCTCAAATATGTAAATAAAAAATAATGAATGGAAACTACTTAGGCAAAGAAGTAAAAGAAAAATTTCCAGGCAGAAGGGCAAAGGCCCCAAAGCAACCTTCAGCTGTGAAGTGGAATTAAGGTATACTTAAGCAACTTTTCTAAAGCTTTTGGGAAAAAAATCAAAAATTTAACCTGTAACATTAAAATTGAATCCACAAAAGTTGCCTTTTCTTTAAGGTTTATTTATTTATTTGAAAAAGTTACATAGAGAGAGAAGGAGAGGCCGGGGCGGGGGTGGATCTTCCATCCACTGGTTCATTCTCCACTTGGCTGCAATGGCTGGAGCTGTGCCAATCTGAAGCCAAGAGCCAGGAGCCAGGAGCTTCTTCCAGGTCTGCCATGTGAGTGCCAGGGCCCAAGGACTTGAGCCATCTTCTACTGCTTTCCCAGGCCATAGCAGATAGCTGGATCGGAAATGGAGCAGCCAAGACTCGAACTAGTGCTGATATGGGATGCCGGCACTGCAGGTGGCAGCTTTACCTGCTATGCCACAGCACTGGCTCCAAAAGTTGCCATTTTTAAGCCCCACCTTCTTATGGGATCATCTGTAACTTGAATTTTTTTTAATTATCCATTTTTTTTCTTAAAAAACAATTAGATCTTAGCCCTTATTCAGTTTTTTTTTAAGATTTATTTTTATGTATTTAAAAGGCAGAATTACAGAGAGAGAGGGTGTGAGAGACACAGAAAGACAGAGATATCTTCCATCCACTGGTTCCCTCACCAAATGGCTGCAACTACTGGGGCTGAGCAAGGCCACAGTCAGGAACCAGGAATTCCAAATTTGTCTCTCACGTGAGGGACAGGGGCCTGAGCATTCGGGCCATCTTCCATCCCAGGCGCATTAGCAGAGAGCTGGGTTGGAAGTGGAGCAGCTAGATCTTGAACTGCTCATATAGGTGCCTAAGTCACAGGCTGTGAGGTAAAGTTTTAAAATATTAAAACGGCACTACAACACTATGCTACAACACTGGCCACAACAAATAAATCTTTTAAAAAAATAAAATAAAAGCACATGTAGAAACAGTGGTTGGGAACACAAAATTCTGAAAACTCTATCATTTGTAGGACACATTGTTAGGTGCATACAAGTTCAGAACTTCTGTAGCTTTCTGGTGTATTTTCCACTTAAGCATATGTAACAAATCTCTCTATCCCTATCTTTTAAAAAAGGTCAATGTTTTGAGTTAATTAGCCTCCACATTCACAACTGTAAGACTCCTTTTATATCAACAAAATATGTCAAACTTAAATAGCATGAAAGGTTACAGTTTTCGAAGTCATTTTGCAATTTTCCTTTCAGTTTCAATACCCTTTGAGACCGCAGGTTTTGTAAGAGAAACACGGCACATATATGTACACCAAGAGAGTTTTAAATACATTATACATGCTTACTAAGGGCTCTTCCTTCCCACAGCACATTAAGCTACTAGTTTATCTGAAGACTTTCACTCTGCTCCAGATACATGTGATGTAAAATCATTTTATGCCAACAACATATATCACTTACCTTCTTGAATTCTGAACTCACTAAATTGCCCTAAATTGCAAATTAGCTTTCTGCACACATACATATTCAAGCCATTATCTAAACTTCTTTATTCCTATTCTTCTGAAAATGTGCAAAACTACTGATTTGCCATGTTTTATTTACTATGTTACTATAGTTATATATAAAGTATCATAGAATAACATTTTTAAAACTTTACCCCACAGGTATAAATAGTAGGCTCAGAAGAAGTTTATGTAGCTAAGCAGTTTAAAAATAGCTTTCTTGGAGCTTTTGTTAGATTATTTCAGAAGACCTCCTAAATAGACCTAAGAGTGGCCTGGTATTCCAATATTCCACAAAATGCTTCTTGTATTTTATAACTAACCAACCAGCTCCAATTGCTGAACATTTACAATTGGTAGAAGCTACAATTATTATCTCTACGATTACAGTCATGTGTTACTGATTATTCAGAGAGGGGAAGCATCAAAATTCATTTTTAAATAGTTGCAAGATGTAATGGCTCAAACATACATGGTTTGAGGGTTCACAAAAGATTTAATAACAAACATTAACTTTTTAATGTTTTATAAGTATTTTACTGATTTAAAAGGACTAAAAGCTCAATTTAAAAAAAAAACCTACAGGTTATAAACACGGTACACAGTGTGTCTGATAACAATTTTGATTAGAAATCAAACTCGTTCTTTTCTAAATACTCTGAAGAAGAGATCTTGCAACACTTCGTTTGCTTTGTTAATTACTTTGGACATATTTAATAAGACAAATTCTCTCATTAGCACATCAAGAGCACAATGGAAAAGATCAGAACTTTAACATGAAAAAATTCTATTGACAATATTTACCTTTAATATTCCTTTCTCAAAAAATGAGCTCAAAGATTCTTAGCAAGGGAATTATTGCTTTGATCATGATGTCTAGATGGAAAATACTCTTCACATTATCTTAAATCTATGATATGCATTTACTTACACAGTAAATGGAGCAGGTGGGGAAGAAGAAACAATAAGTCAAGAGTTCAGGGCTTTTGTATGTTATGCTAACAAAATGAGGACACTTACCAGAAAAAAGCTGAAGTCCATGGTAAATTTTAAAAAAGAATAAACCAATTGAATGGTTATAAGTTAATGACTATTAGTAAAGAAAAGTCTTCATAACAAAGCTTACAGGTTGCTTTTTAATTAAAAGGAAAAATATAGTGGAATATTCAATTCAAGGATATTATATTAAAAATTACTAAAGGAACGCTTGAATTGAGCCTAGATACTATAAAATAAATTAAGTTATTCAGGAAAAGGAAAATCTTAGCATGCATTAAGATAGCAGTCAGAGTGCAAATAATTTTAAAACAGTCATATTCATTTTGCATTTCATTCTTTCATAAGCCAGAATATAAGTGTAAAATGTCATCAGTAATTTAAACTATTATGATCACTTAGCCTTAAATTCCATGGTATACTCTACATTGTATTCTCATGGAAAAGGTAACCTGCCCCTATTCTACTAAAACTGGTACTCCTATATCATAAGTGTTGTGTATACTTCAATATTTCTGCATTAAAATTTTGAAATATCAATTATTTTACCATTTAAAAAATAAGGTTTCAATTTGTCATTATACATATTGCCCAGAAAGCTAATGTTTGTGTGTATTGACAAAGGCCATTGAGTAGGACTCAGGGAAAACATTTAAATATTAACTGCATTTTAAAAATGTGATGTGCTCTAATAAATCTAACCTGTATATCTGAAACACTGTGAGGCCAGTACTCTCTGTACATACCACACATTTACGGGGGGGGGGGGGGGGGAGGAGAGAATTCATCCACAAGAAACAATTACAGAATAAAATGATCAATTTTGAATTGACATTTTAGAAATAGAGAACAGCCAGGCTTGGGGACAGCAGGTGGGTGTGGTTATAAAAGGACAGTACAAGGGCTCCTTGTGATGATGAAAGTGTGCTGCCTCTTGACTGTGGAGGGAGTGAAACATGTGGCATAAAATTGTGTTGGACAAAACAAGCACAAAGCTGCAGGGAAACCTACATAAGACCCATGAGTTTTTATTAATAGCATCCCAGCTGTGATATTATCCAACACTTTTGCAAGCTGTCACTGCTGGGGGTAGGGGGGACACTGAATAAAGAGTACCTGGGATCCCTCTGTATTATTTCTTACAACTGCTTGTGAATCTACAGTTATGTCCAACTGCAAACTGGAAAGCTTTTTTAGAGGCTATAAAATATACTTTCTCCTCGCTAAACATCCCCACTCACACATACACCAGTGAAAACACTGGAGAAATAAACACCAAAACCCCAGTGACGAAAGAAATTACCACATAAGAACAGTCGAAATTCCCCTCAAAAAAAAAAAAAGTAAATATAGTAAACATCCTCTTCAAATATTCTTGCACTGTCAATATTCTTAATTTTATTTTCTGTGTTAATCTAAATTAGTTTTAAACACGACACTCTGTAAACTGAAGGCTTCTTATGACAGAGCAGTAATAAAATGCTACCTTACAGTTCAGACGGTATCAGAATCATCCTTAATCAAACAAAGAAAACCATTATTGTCTCTGTCCGTTTATGTTCACAGATAAGAAAATCCCTTTCTCTTCTCCAAGAGTTCGGACTGAAGAGTGGAGTGAGAGTTACCATAAGGATTTAGGCAAAGCCAGGTTTTTAACTACTTTTAAATTTCTTGGAAAAGATTCAAGCATATCCTTCTTCCATTAATGCAAGACGAGAAATAGTGTGCAAAACACTCTGGAATTCCTTTGCTGTGAAGAATTCAAAAGGTGATCAAAGGCAGGGTGACGCGCACTGGCACCCGGATAAAATGGGTCTGATTAGGGTAGATTCTCATTTACGTAAAATGACTTCCAGGCAATTCGTGCAGCCTTGACTTTCAACCTGACACTCGCCAGACTTCAGTGAAGATGGAAATCGGGAACACTGGGCCCCTCTCACCAGTCTGGGGGCTTCATCCCTATGATTCCGCCTTTGCGGGTTGGAGGGGGGTGAGGAACTTAAGTCGCGGTCCTCGCGTCCCCATCCCGCGGCTCCCGCAAAAGCTCAGCCTGCGGGGGAGCCGGACGGCCGGAAGCGGGGACAAGGTGGAGCTTTGGGAACGCGGGGGAGGCGAGGCCAGAGGCGCAGGGGGTGCCCGGGGTCCAAAGGGCCAGGCGAGGCTGGGACACCGAGCCGTGGGGATCAGGGCGAGAGCTCACCCGCGTTCTGCAGGATCTCGATGTTCTGCGGTTTGTTCGCCAGCTCCGCTACCATCTGCACGAACTGGACGCGGGCTTTCTGGTACTGCTCGAACACTGCAGAAGAGAGACCCTGTGGAGCGGCGGGGGCGCCGTGGCCCGCCGCCCGCCACTCGCCGCCCGCCCGTCGGGGCACTGCTCGCCCCCGGCCCTACCGTTAAACACTTGCCGCTGGCTCATGGCTCTCGCCGCGGCCTGGGACCCCTCTGAGCCCAGGTGTCGTGGGAATCCGCGGAAGGCGCGGCCGCGGCGGCGCCTGTGCCGCCGACGGGGTCCGTTTCTGCCGTTTCTGTGTACACTCGGCGCCCGCGCAACCGACGGGATCGCAAACCGGCCGTCTCATGGCAACGGGCAGTCCCGGGCCTGACGTCACGGCCGCGGTGTCCCAGCGCCCGCGCAGGGCGGCGAGAACCCGGCCAGCCCCGGGGGAACTCCGTCCTCAGGGGCCGCCCGGGCGAGCGCCCACCCCGCCCAACCACCGCGGGAACCATGCACCTGCCCGAGCCGCTGCCCCTCCGGGCTGGCGAGTGGTACAGTTGTCCACAAGGAGTGCAGGGTTTTGCGCACACCGACCCCAGCCGGCGTGGCTTCCCGACTGCACCGAGGGCCGGGCCGGGCGCGGGGAGAGCCCCAAGTGCGGACAGAGCCTGGGTGAAGGGCGAGCGGTGCGAAAAGCAAACCGCAGCAGCCGAGCTGTCCGAGCGCCGACGGCCCAGCGGAATCTCGCACGTGACGCGTGTGATCCCACGGGTGCATTGTTGCTGAAGCGTGGCGTTTCTGGTGTGCGTACACCCTGGAAGCAGAGCAAGACACAGTATGGCACATGCTCTGCGTTGCATGGCTTTTTCCCAAGTACCGCTAGTTTGCTGTCTCCTCACTTTCATGTGATTTGAAGACACACTTTGTATTTGTCTTTAAGTTTAGCCTTCATTTAGGTAGCTGAATGCCATTTGCAGAAGAGAGAATCTTCACCTGGGAAGCCACTTTTCCCTAGCTTATGTAACAACTCAGTTTCTTATAGCAAAATGGAAGTAGGTAGTCTATCACTGGTTTCTAGCTCGTCTTTGAAAGCCGTATTCCGACTGTTCCAATGGCAAATGTCAACGTCAGTGATTCACCAGCAATGGAGCGGGTACCTAAGTCACAGCTGTGGCTTGGCAGGACCAGCACAGGAAACTCCTGGGTATCTTCTTCAAGAGAAGACAGCATGCAAACCTGGCTGGCTGTCATATTTGGAGTGATTCTCTGTAGTAATCTTAGGTCTCACCTTAATGCTCACGAGATCTCTGATGAAGCCCTGATCCCTCGTGGGTCTCAGAACAGTTGGGGAAGGAGTCAGCAATCAGGAAGCAGAGTAAGTGTATGTAGACAGGTTTCTTATACCCCCCAGGGCAAGGTACCTGTCTTTGGCTTCTGTAGTTCAGAAGCCAGTGAAAAAGCCAAAATGTACCAAACTTTAAACCTAAGGTTCACAGTGATCACATTTTCCCCAGGGAACAGGTCCTGTCAAGTGTTTGTATGTTCCCATTTAGAGAAGTAGGGGAAAACAGAGTGAGGAAATTACTAAGATTGCAAGTAAACCATGGCTATTTGTTTCAGCTCCTTGTTTGCACCATGAGAAGAAAATCCCCTCAACACTACAAGGTTCATATTTGATTTCAGTCCTTAAATAACTCAAAAGTCTAAGCTCCTACATCTGTCATTTCTAGCAATTGTCTTACTATATATTTCCTACTTTAAAAGTGTTAAGAGCTCAGTGGTGGGCATAGAGGTGGGGGTCTAAACCTACAGACATCAAACAGTCCACATAGGGAATGCTACAAACTTTGGAAAGTTCAAATGGTATGTTAATTATTTTAAAATACAGAATCTCAGTATTTGTTACTAACAGTGTCTGTGAGTTGAATTCAACAATGTCTGTGAGTTGAATTCTATTATTGTTCCTGAGGAAAAACACAATATAGGACATTTACTTTATTTCACATCTAAAATGGAAATATTTAAAAAGCTAATCTCTGCTCTTTATTCTAGCTTTCTTTAAAAAGCCTTCAAAGTTTATTGGGAAATGTAATATGGAATGATCATGATATACATAAGTGAAATTACTAGTAATTCAAATATAAAATATGGTAATCATTACCTTTACTGACAAGAAAACCAGTCCAAATTTTCTGATACATTTTTCAACTTACTAACTTGAAACAAAATAGTACTGTTTTACTAAATTAATTGAATACCCCAAGATCTCACACACACACCCCTAAGCTAATAGTTAACCAGTGAAAAAACTATTCAAAAGGATACTTCAGGGTTGTTTTTTTTTTAAGTGTTATTAAACTCATGACTGTAAGTGCCAGCCTATTTGGAGATCTACAATGTATTTGACACTTGAAACAATACATTTGACTGACATGAAATATCTGAACAACTTGCAAAAGTGTTTCCATGAAATGCTTACTTGGAAGTTTGGGGCTCCTTTTGTAAAAAGCTATAGTGTATTACTTCAGAATAATTGTTCACTTAATTCCTTCTTTACTTTTGCAAAAGTCTGCAAACACAAGCCAATTTTTAAGTCTTCTGTTTTTCTTTACAGATCTCCTTTGCTACATGTACTTTTTAAAAATTTTTAAAAAGCTTTGCTAACTTCAGTATACATATTTTTTCCCCAACTGTTGGCTGAATTTTAAAAGTTAAAGTGTAATATATGCTAAGTAGGTGTTAACAGCTATACTTCAAAAACTGCTATTAAGGTGAATCAAGGCAAATACATATTAAACACCAATGTGCTAAACATGTTGTTAATGAGATTGTGTCTAGTAAGAGACGGACATCTACTTACTCTACTGGCATATACTGCAGCCTGTGCTAACTCAATCAGCAAGCATCTACTAGTCACTGTTTTAAGGGCTGTAATAGCTTGAGGCGCTGTAAGTGCTTAGGGAGCAAAATGGGGTTTAGGGTAAAGTAGGTGCCATGGTGAGATTATCTAAAACATTTAAGTAATAAAAGGCTTGTTTGTAATAAAAATCAGTTGAGTTTTATCTGATAGTAAATCTACTGCAAAAGAGAATTAAAATATTTCAGTATTTAATAGGGAATTCAGTTAGCAACTGCATGTAATTGGTCAAGCTTTGGGAATCATTTTACCAAGACAAAATCTAAAAATCACTGAAATAACTCCGTATTTACATACTTTTATTAAAAACAAAGGTATTACATACTGCATAACCAAGTTAGAGGACCTGAAATGTTATGTATAATGATGGCGCAAACGTGACTGTCTTGAAGGTGGCATTGTCTCTTTTTTGGGAAACCAGTGTCCCATGCACTGAGGTCTGGGCAGAACATCCAAGCATGCCATTGAGTTTGTCAGCAGAGTAGAAGACTTGGACTTTTCCATCAAGAAGGACATGAATATTTCTATCCATGCTTTAAGTCTTATCTCCTGCTCTTGTCTTTTCCACCCTATTTTGAAGTCAACTCAGTTTTTGTTTCTTTTTAATGTGAAGGCCATTAGAATAGTAAGATGACAGCGCTTTAGCTGGTCCCAAAGTCTTTAAGATATAGCTGTCCATGGCTTCCTTTCCAGGAATTTACCAAGTGCAGGAATTACACTCATCTTTTCCACTTTCAAAGAAAGCTGTGATTGATGGGATTCCGCATATGAACGTTTTTGCTCCCCAAAGAAGACACTATATAGTACAAAATGACTGATACTAAAAATTGAGGCTTTTAACATAGAAATCTAAAGTACAGCATAACATTTTTAAAGGCAATAACATACATAAAAAAAAAAAAAAAAGGTGAGCTTGCGGCGGCTATGTGAGTGACGGGAATATCTTCTTTTTAAAGACTCAGGCGAGTTTCCTAAGTAATTAAACATTGTACCTCAGCCTGCATCACCGGATGGGGAACCCTAAGCCTCCTGTCACTCCCTCTCAACACCTCGCCAGCTCTCTGAAATGTCAGCATTGTGGAGTCGCTCAGAGCACACTACCACCTTTTTATTATCACCCAACGGGAGACACAAAGGCCGCTAGTGCCACGTAGGAAACGACCCCTCGAGGCCACCCAGGCCGCGCTTGACGCGGCCCACGCATCCCTCGGGTGCGGGTCTTCCAGAGGCTGCGCCTCGGCTGGTCGGCCCGCGCGAGCTCCAAGCTGGACGCCGGCGAGGCCCCCACTGAGTGGGTCCGGGGTCCCCGGCTCGACGGCGCTGGCCAGATCTGGCAGGCAGCCGCGTCCGGCGTGGACCGAGTGTAGGGAAGTCTCTGGCTTCCTCGGCTCTTTCCCTTCGACCAGAGTTTCTGCAAGTCCCACGAGCAGCTTCGTGGGCTCGGCAGAGTTTCTAGCCGGGGAAGGGGCGCCGCGAGCCTCCTGCGGCTGCCTGCCGGGTCCGGCTGTGAGTGGCCGCGCGAGGCCGGAGAGGCGGCACGACGAACGCGGACCGTCGCGGTAGGAAGGGGCGGACGCCCGCGGACCTGAAGACCCCATGCTGTAAGCGCGCAATAGGCGCGCCCACGGCCCCCTTCACGGGG